GTTCTTTTCTCTGGAGAGCCTTGACTAATAAATATACTAGCTAATAAACCTGTACTGATATTAATGACAGTAATAATAGCACAGCTTTTATGAATACAATGAATTCTGTTCAAACAAAATCTTATACAAATATTGAAGTCCCTGTCATTTTTAACAGTTAATCTAATTTCAAAGATGATCAGTTTTGGTATATACAACTATATTATAATCTTATTTTCCTTGTATAATTCTGAATCACAAAATTAAAATTATGTAGAAGTGATTTATGGGACTTTTGGTATGCTGTGAGTCAGATTTGGGGGACTGGAGAAGGCGTTGTTTGAACGGGCCCTGAATACTTGGTTGCATGAGTTAACAAGAACGCTTTACAAAGAAAAAAGATCAAGCCATTGTGAGCAATATGTCATATTAATATTGTATACCTGTAGGTGTGAGAAAAATAATACAAACACACAGAGAAGCATTGCTTACAAAGTAGGAAAAGTGTTTAACTCTTTCTGACCTGCTTCTCATAAATGCAGAACAGAGCAGATCTCCATGTTATAAAGATATGTTTTCAAAGCAGTCAGACCACAATGACTACTGAGCGATGCAGCCAGCGGTTCTGTTTTCCTAAGTTTGTTCAGAGGACTGTATCTTTGTAAGCTGGCCATTCCCACTGTTCTTAACGTAAGTACAACCTGTATGCGTAAGGGCCCAATATTTATTTATAAAATCCAGAGTTCTTTTTAGTTAACATATAAATATTATACACACACCAGCACACACACACACACAAATATACATTATATATTTTCCTCAGTAAAATACGCACCCTATCATTGCCTGAACTCATTAATTTATTGCAGAATCCAAGATGAAATGAGTCTTGTGTAATTTAAGGTGACCTCTTAGACCCTGAAGTAACTGCCTACTGATGATGATGAACTAATACATGCTAACATGTATACAGTGCAATGATTTTCACCCAGTGGCCACAAGGAGTTTTAAAACTAGCAATACCTACTCCTTAGTCAGGGCACTGACCTCTTTTCCCTTAGATTGTCAAATAAAAACATGACAACAGCCGACACGCTCGCAGTCCAATGTGAATGAATTAAATTATATCTATTTTTTGTCAGATTGACAATGTTTTTGATGGGCCACAGGATTTTAGTTATTCGTGTATGTGTGCCATGAGATGGAAAAGGTTGAACACTGCGGCTCTAGTGTTTACTATATACCGTCCTCTGTTCTAAGAGCTGTCAGAAATTAACCAGTTTAGTCCTCACAATCCAATGGGACAGGAACTACGATTCCTATTTTACGAGCGAGCGAACTGAAGCCCCGAGCGCACACTCCCCGCCCGCGCGCGTGTACGGTACATCTGAACAGCTGTTTTACCTTAATTCGTGATATGAAAACACGGGCGCTCCCCCCATTCCTGAGTTATATCGTGATATAAACTCTGGAGCCTCACCGGGCACTTGGAAGTGAAGATTGTGTCCCACGGAAAATGCTCACGACGTCCTAAGGACACCAGGCGACGGAAGCGCGTCCTCCCACTGTCCGTCCAGGAGACACAGCGTGTGGCGGGCCAGGGACTCTCCCCCAGGAGCCCGCTGCCCAGGGCGCCCGCCCTGCCTCTCGGACCCAGTCCCGCCTCAGTCTGAGCCCCGCAGCCCGGCCGCCACACCTCCATCCAGGACTGAGTCAGGGCGCGAGGTCACCACTCCGGTCACCAAGCCAGAGGCCCTTCCTCCTCTCCCTCCTTCCCACGCGCTCTTCTCCAGTGACTTCTTGTTCTAAGACGCCCTCAGAGGAGTCCGGGGGGGCGACTTCTTTACTGGCACCTCCTGGCTTCCCAAATGGGGAGCTGCTATGGTTCCAGGGCCACAGCCTCTCCCTCTACACAGGTCGTGGGGAGCGGTGGCCTAGGCCTGCTGCTAAGCCAGGAACTCTACAAAGAAAACGCATCAGCCCATCCGACCACAATAATGTGACCACAATATGTGACTACAATATGTGACCACAATAATGTGACCGCAATATGTGACCGCAATAATGTGACCGCAATATGTGACCACAATATGTGACCACAATATGTGACCACAATAATGTGACCGCAATATGTGACTGCAATATGTGACCACAATATGAGACCGAGGGTGAGTGAAGTGGCCTGAGCCCCCACCGTCCTGTCCGCTGCCTGCGGGACAGTCCCCAGGCGTCACCTCTCCCCGCCCACAGCCCCGGGCTGGCTCCCCTCCCGCCCAGC